TGGTCCGCGCCTTCCGGCGACGGGACGGCAGAAATTCCTCTCTCCCGCTGTCCCATTGTGTCCCCCAGCTCTCCGTGTCTCTTTGTCGTCGCCTCGCGCGGGACCCTGCCTCGTCGAAACTGCCGAAACCGCCCCTTCCCCCGTTTCTTGATTGCAGGTGTCGCACGGCGCGCGGTGTGCTCCGTTCGCGCCTAAGCTGACAGTGCGACGGACCCGTCGTACGCTCATCAGTAGTCACGTGATCACGCTTCTGCCACGTGCAGAGGGCGGGGCCAGGTGATGGAAGGGAGGCCGCTGATTGGCCCGGCGAGTGCGTAGCTTCTGAATCGCTGTCGGCTTAGGTGTGAGCGGGCTGGGAGTGAGCGGGCAGGCAGGCATGGACAAGCGACGACGAGCTTCGTGTCCCGCCGCCCGGCCGTTCGCGCTTTCTGAGTGACCCCCCTTCGAGGACTTTTCGGCGGGGAAGCAGACCGGCGCGTGAGAAATGATGAACTGCGAGGGACCGCGTCTTAGCGCCTGAAATTCGAGACTGACGGAAAACGATACGGGCGAAGCGCGTGCGACGCGAGACCTGCTGGTCTTGACGTTGTGGGACAGCGATGCGGTGACGTTGAACCCTAGAGAAAACGATACGAGTGGACTGAATTGAAATGAATTAATAAACGAGTTTAGGTGAAGGTGCTGGCGAACACCCTGTAACGACAGGGTCGTTGATCGGGCGATCGTGAGCCCCCCTTTGTTTACTACTCCTTAGTGCTGATTTCGTTTAATTTATATGAGTTCAGCGGGAGTACTTTCCCGCTAAATTTAGCGGAGAAATGTGACGCGACGTCGCGTCGTAACGTAACTTGACACGGTGACGGACCGCTGACACCGTGTAGCGTCAGGTTTTTTCTGCTTGCGACCCTTCGTAGTGTGCCTAGACTAGTGCAGGGTGGAACTCCTACTTCTCAATCGGGGTACCCGGGGTCCACGAGCCGCGCTTTTCGGTATCGAGCTGCAGAGAGGTGATCAAAAGCGTTCTATCGTGTGCAAGCGCTTCGTTCGGCCTCTCCACCCACTCTCCTCCTCACTACACGACAACGCAACAGATGCGCCCTTGCTGCAACCGATCCGCGGCAGGAGCCGTCCTCCATTAAAATGCAAACGCTTTCCGTGGGGTTTGAGCTGCTCTATGTCGTGCAAAAGACGACGGTATTCGCTGTAGATATGACGATGAAATTATCTGCGTACCCGCCTCAGGCATGTTACCAAACATGTTTGCTTCATACACACGTACACTTCAAACATGTCTGCGCACAGTTCTTGTATAACCAATGCAAAAAAAGCGTCGTACAAAAAAAGAAGTGTTTTAGGCAGTGTTTGTCGACTGTCTCTTGTAGGTTGTATTCGCATTGTGACCGCGACCGGCACTAACGCGAGCAAGCAGGGTCTGTGAAGGGCTCCCACATAAAGATATCGTCTCGAAAACCTTCTATCAGCAAACGGTGGACAAAGCGCATGGGTAGCTACGGTAGACAAAAGCGCGCGCCATAAAAAAGAAAAAACAAAGCGACGTCTCGTTAATGTCCCATTCTTTCCCCTGACCTTCCGACGGGTTCCCATGATGGCGGTTGGGAGGGCACGGTGCGAAGCCACCGGTGTTCGCGTCTTCGCGGGGAGAGACGCTTGCCTGAACACGCGGCGCTTTCCGCTGACTGTGAGCCCATCCAGCCTTCCCGTAACCACCCCGTCAGCTTTCTTTCGTCCGCCGCCACACTTCGCTGCCTCTTTAAGAACTTCCTCGCCCTCGAAACCCGCCGAGTTGAGACGAACATTGTTTTCCCCGGACTAGCCGAGCCGAGAAGAAGAGTCGCTACTTGTTTCTTACTGGGCAGACCGCGTCTTCCAACAGAGGCTCCGTGACCGGCAGTGACGTCACGACGGTACAGTGACGCTGCTTTCGGCACGGCGCACGGGCACTTCAAACGAATCCGGTTTCTGCGCAGTGCCCACACCTCGCGTGAGCAAATACTGGCTTCCCTGTAAGCAATGTGTACGCTAAAAAAAAAAAAAAAAAAGAAATACGAAGCGAAAAGTTCGTTTTTTGCCGTCGTAAACTCGCCTTCTGCGCGTTGCCTTCTTTGTCGCTGTGGGCTGTCAAACACCTTCTGAGCATGCTCTGTTGCGCGGTATATCGGAGAAAGCGCATGCGTACACAGCTCAATGACTCGGCAGTTTTTCGCCCGGGTGAAAAAACGACGGAAAGGCCTAGAATACGTCGGGTGTTGAGAGGGACCCAAGACGGGCATAGCCTTCATCGTTCCTTGGCTGGCGAACCTTCACATTCTGCTTTTCTCGGAGCGATTTGTACATACACGCATTCAAGCTTCGCCCGTCAATGGCAACGTTCCAGCTCAACAACCCGGCGACGGGTATGCTGTGCTGCCAACCCGTGTGAGAACGGAACACGCGCCCAGTCGGTCCACGTGACCCCCTTCGTTCCCCAAGAAAGAAAAAAAAGAAAAAAAGTTCGGCGCGATTTCAGTTTGCGCGTGCACGGTGTCTCCGTGAACGCGATTCGGGTATCGCGCGGCGCCGGTGTCGGATATCGGAAGGAAGAACACTACCGAACGCCGACGCGACGGTCCCGGAGAGAAGCTTCCCACGGCCAGCGAACACTCGTTTGAAGAAAGACTCCCTCGTACACAATGATGTAGATAATGGAAAATGGAGAAAAGGTACCCCACCTTCGAAACATTACAGCCCATTAGGATTCCGTCTTGGTCGCTAGAGCGACCTCTTTATCTTAAATTTTGGGCGGGAAGTAGGTTGGGAGAGGAGGGCACATTGGAATTAGTTATTTACGGGTAACTCAAAGCGGGACAGTCGACGGGTTGCGCGAGATAACCCGACACAGTTTTACCTCCGAGTGATATGAAAATATCGAGGTCTATATCTCTCTACATTATAAGTAACCCACAAAATGAGCACGGCCAGGCGTTCCTTCCCGATGCTGGGTGTCCGGCACAAGCTCGTCGCCCTCCGTCGTGCTTTGACTCCGCGTGCAGTCGCCAAACTTAGAACGCGCCCCCCCAGTCTCATCGAAGGTACGAAGCGCGCGCCAGAGACGCATGACAACAAGAGGACCTTCCCACCATACTCATCCCTTCACTGACTACGGTTGTCTATTCATCAAAGTAGCGTTCGACGCGCTCGAACAAAGGGAACGATATGAAGGGACGGACAAAAACCACCGCACCTTCGATCCTTCCGTCCATCGCTATTTACGGCTGCTTTCATTCCGTCGGTTCCGTTTACGAATCTCGAAGCAACAAGCGTCATCGTATTAGGCCACCATCTGCGTTTAGTAAACTGTCAGTATATAATACAACTTAAAAGAAAAAAAACTCTGTCGTTAATATTTCTTTTCTAAGATGCTTGACAGATCAACGCGCCGTGTGTTGTAGTTTCTCGCGCAACATCCGCGTCTGTCCGCGTGAGCAATGCGGCAGTGCTTCCCCCCTGCTTCCAAGCACTGGCAAGCAGCGGCCACTTTTCAGAAGGCCGCTTTTCAACGCTCTCTCGAGAACGGCCGGCAATCAGATAATGCCTGCGGCCGCGAGGAGAGGGAGAGAGAGAGAGCCGCTCTGTTTTGCACGCGGGGCAGGCGGGGGGAGCGCGGACGCGCCGTCGGGATCGCGGAAAAATTATTCTTCCCCCCTTTCGTATGTACCAGGAAAGAGATTATGTAAAATGCGAGCCACCGGTAGTTAGCCGAGCCGCCGTGGCGGAGCAGTGCGCGGTCCGCTAGCGTTTGTGCAAGTGCGGCCGCGTGACGTCACAGCCCGGCATTCTGGCTTCCCGGCGCCCCGGGGGTTGACGCGGAAGGACGGCTTCACTGCCGTGACCCCGCGCAATGCGGGAGAAAAAAAAAAAAACACACACACACACAAAAAAAGCAGCCTGTTGTTGGAGTTTAACTCGAACACGACATCGAACGAGTGTATCGTTCGTTTCTACGAAAAAAACATTCATAATCGGACCCGTGACGCACACGGAATGCAACAAGGTGTATGGTAGAGCGAAGTCACCCACTATCGAGAAATGAATTAAACTTTTGCTCGTCTGGTGTTAAACCTTCCGGTTTCCATGGCTCTGTGTCGCGTTCAACCTCTACGCATTTGGGGTAACGTTTCGAAGTGATTGGATGTGCCATCCAAAGCTGGGAATCCTCGAGTAGAGAACATGGTTTTGCAGAAAGTTTCACGATACAAACTTCCATAACAAGGCAGCGCAAAGACAAGCAACGCGGGATAAATGAGGCGCTCTTTAAACAGCCTTATTTCCCTCACAATGCAATTCAACGCCTTAACGGTGAATGTGTCAGTTTACTGTGACTTTCGTATTTGATTCTTCATGAGCCTTCCTTCGTTCGACACTTACTTGTTCGAAGCTGAACAGTGTTTTATCGGGGAGCTGTTGATGAACAAATCAGCGAAACAGCTCCAAACGTAAGCAATATTCGAATAAGAGTGGTTCACGAAGATATGTTATTTGACGGACAGTACAGACACCCCGAACCTCAGCTTCCTCAGCTTCAGCTTCAGCAGCCTCAGCTTCGTTCGGTCGCGTGCCGTGTGCACCAGGCTGAACAAAACTTTAGGGCAGAATAAACGGTGCGTCTACTTTTCCGCAAAGTACTCGGGACAGCCAATCGCTGCAACATACAGAGGGAGAACTGGGCCCACGACAACGTGAAAATGTACTTAGACTTAAAAAAAGAAAACCAATCTCCACGAGGCGAAGACAGATGAGGCATCTCACACGTACACGCTGCAAACCCTTCCACGCATGCGCAGTATATAAAATGCCGCACGAGGCGACGACACGCGATACATTTCAGACGTGCACGTTGTTGAAGAACGCCATTCAAAGAGCCCGGCGGATGGCTCGGTCCGTGTGCCCCACGAGCAGGTCCCCAGCCCCCGGCGGAGGTACCGAATTCCGGGCACACTTACTTTTGCTTGCCGGCGGCTCCCAGGAGCCGGTTGATGACATTCATGACTCGAGCATCGGGGTCCGGAGCAAATCCGAGGCGACCGCCGCTGCACGCAGCCCCTGCCCCCAACCTGTCACGCCTCAGAGAGGCAGGCACGGAGCCGGCAGGGCTGCTGCTGCACCCGCGCCCCCGAGGCACGCCACTCCTTCATCGGAAGCTCGACCACGCCGTGTTGAAACGAACGAAACAACAACAAACAAAAAACGCACCCCCGACGTCGGTCAACCAACTGCACGGTTATTGCACTTGTCGAAGAGAACGTAGTTCGCGGAGAAGAGGACGGCTCGTATTCCGTGGGGGGGGGATGGACAGACAAGCCGATGACTTGACCACCGAATTCTTGACTGTTTCCGCAGCGATGAATGTTGTGGTAGGCGTCCGCGGAGGACTGACAATCCGATGACTCGATCGGACGACTTCTTGAGACCGATTCCACAGCGATGATAAAGTGATGAATGTCGTGAGAGACGCACTTCGAGTTACTGGGAACGACGGGAGTCTGGTCTCGACGTGGGCGACGGAGGAACGCACATTGCTCGCGCCTGGCCAAGCTCGCTCGACGCCACGCACACCGACGACCCACACCTGTTGAACGCGGCAACGACGAGCAGCGCGATTCCGCAGGCAGCGCTTGCTCCTGCCGAAATCCGAGTCGAGGGCCTTCACCGTCTCTACCGGGCGTTCTAAGACGACAGCGAGGCAACGAGCACGCCGCTTCGTGGATGTCACGTGACGGGACGAGGACGGGACGTCCCACGTTGGAACACCGGTGACACCGGGGGAAACTGACACACGCGTGGAGGTGCAGGCTCGCCGCGGCCGCTACATGGTCGGCAGAAAGGGTCAGCTGGCGAGGCACCCCCGACTAGCACTGGTGCTGCGCGACCGGCGGAGGACCGGTCATAATGGCGGCGGCTGCGGCGGCGGCTGAGTTCGACGCTGCTGTTGGCTGCTCTCGGGGGCTACGAGATACCGGTCGGCAGGTTCCCCTCGCCCACCGGGAGAGGGCTGGAGGGGGGCGGAGGAACTCGCCGAGTGCCGCCGCCGGCCGAACGGACCCAAGGAACCCCCGTCCCGCGCGCGAGAGAGCGGTCCGGAAGGTGAGAGCGCGGGGAGGGGTTCGTCTTCGGTTTTGGGTACCGCGCGACGGACCCGGGGGTTCTTTCGCGCTGTTTGTTGACATAGCGCGAAGACCGGGCAACTACGAGTTCGACGGAGCTGAACGCCAACGCGGGATTCGTTTTCGACGCGCAAAAGTGAGCGTTTCCACAGCCGCGTCTGATGACTGATGAGAGAGAAATAACCGAGGTATACGTTGTCTTCCGAACTCCGTTTCGACGATGTTCCAACCGTGTCCTGTCTGGACTAAATATACTTCAAGCGCCATCTGAGACACACATCTCGTGCGAGCGCCCGCTTAGCAGAGCCGCCCTCTGAAGGCCTATTCACGTGTATACAATTACAGAACTACCTGAGCGGTATTCGCTCACTCGATTCGCTGACGCGACGCTGTCTTTGCGCCATAATAATTATGCAGCGCTGCTGACACAAACCTGCATCGGCGCTAAGCTGTATACGGAGTCCAGTAAGTGCTGCATTAGCACTGTCATTATGGAGTCGATTTAGCGCTGTGCTGTACGTGCGCACCGGACTTATAGTTGTCAATGGTACCTTTCGTAAATTACTCAATCACCTAAAAGCCTTCTGCGTGTATATAGTTACAGGGGTTTCACGCATTGGCGTCTTCTATACTAGCTGTTCTAAAGCAAAAAAACCTTTAAAAAATGGCGCGAGTTTGCAGAATCGTTCGTCAACGCCTAGGTGACTTCGTTTATTTCGAACCTTTCAGGTAAAGCGAGTGCGTGAGTAGCACGTGTATCTACGTTCTCAGCATTGTTCTCTGCTTGGGTGATTCGGCAAAAGCAGACCTTTTGCCACATCACTCAGGCACACTGGCGTATGGCATAGCTAGGAATGTTTTACGGGAAAAGCGGGGGGTCCATGACTTGGGGTCCCCCCCGGCTACGCCACTGCTCAGTCACCAAGGAGAATACTGGGAACGTAGGTAGCGTGCATTCCGATTTATAACTCGCACCTCCTATACCCAGATGTTCTCAGAAAAAAAAGGAGATATACAGTTCGCATCTATATATTTGTACGGTTGGCGCGACAAAAATTGTGTCGAAAAACCCGCATATGTGTATTATGATCTTTTAATTTTTCTGGCTAACGACTCGAGCGAGAAATGTAACCCCGTGGAAAATCTTCCGCAGTTAAGATTCATACTTGTAGAGAGAGGAAAAAAAAGATATATGTCACACCGTTGTACCAGACGCACCGACGGAAATTTTTGAGAGAAAAAACGCGATTTCTACACCGAAAACACTGTACACGCGTTGAACGGGCTCTCCTTGCCTCCAGGAAAGATTAAAATTTCTAATATAAAACTTGCAACATTCTTTTTTTTTTTTTTTTTGAGAAGCGGAAATGGACTTATTTCCGCTTCTCGAAGCTTCTACGCGTGAGTACAATCCGTCCCCTGACCTTTCCTATGACGCCAATTTCGAAGGGCATCGTCCCGCTTGACCAACATTGTCAGCACCTATTTTTGCGCATATTTAATCCTTTTTGACGACTCTTTCTTTTTTTTCGAGCATCGGGGATGTATGGGGTCACAAAAAGCAGCGAAAATCGATAAAACAACGCGATGTTAATGTGTTCTGACGTGCGGAGGGTCCGTCCTTTTATTTACAGTGCTCAGGCAACTCCCCAGACGGCGCTCGTTACTTAGGAGAGACAAGTAACAAGTCGACGCTACAACTATCCAGAGCACACAAGACCCAATATGACAACAGCCTATTAAGTCGCCTTTTGTTTGAAGAATCCCGAGCAGGACCGCTGCGGACAAGAACATATAGACAGCGGTTTGGCCCAACGATTTCCACAGTGCAGCGTTCTGTCTGTGACCGAGAAAAGGAAACAACCGGACACCTGGTCCTGCATGGCCCTGACCTGACGACGTCAAAGTAGAAGGAGGCTGAGCGTGTGGGCAATAATCAACGGTGGAGGACGGGCTACGCCGCCCGCACCCGCTGCAGCGACAACGGCGCTGCTGCTAACATGACCGAAGGCGCTGTGTTTCCGAACATCGACAGATGACGAACACTTATACGCTGAGGGATCGTAAACACCACGAAGCGAAGACTCGAAAATTGGTGGATCACCGAAGAAAAGTGTGGACAGTGAAGTTTGGGCACACAAGCGTGACCACCCGATTCAAAGCTGACAGCCCCAATCATCATCATGGTCATCATCAGGTTCATCAGCGCGCCATGGATGTGCCAAGTTATGGCCCAGAGTTTGAGGAAGCCCCGCCATCGGCTACTTGGTGTTCGCGGCCATTTAGTTCGTCGGTGGAGCATGTGCTCCGGCTGGTAAGGTGAGTCCAGGAGTACAAAGCCAGAAAGATTGAGGGGAATGGCAAAGGCTGACGTGGGACAAAAGGCGCGTGGGAAGGGGTATTCTAAGCAGTGGCGCAGCCAGGAATTTTTCTCGGGGGGGGGGGGGGGGGGGGGGGCTGAGGTGGATGGGATGTTCATGATTACGGGTGTGGAGAGGGTGAGGGAGGGGGTCACAATGCATGTGTATATTGTAGGGTCGATTGGATTTCGGGGGGGGGGGGGGGGGGGGGCCTGAAGCTCCGTAAGCCTCCCCCTGGCTGCGCCATTGATTCTAAGGTCCCCTTGTTTCTCTCCTCCCGGAAAACGCGGGGAGTGTAATGAGGAGGACGTTGTCTCCACGTGCTCCGCGCCGACCTGCGTGGCACAACCATCAACCCGCACATTTGTGTTTGACCCTGCCAAGCGCGTTGTGATATGAGTCAGAAAAGTTTTATCAGTGGGCGCACAGCGACTGCTTGATACATATCGCCTAGACTTCGTTGTGATCTTTTGTAACCGCTGGCACACTGGCGCCACCTGTCGGCTCGCCCTAAAGCACTCGTGATCTGCGTATATATAGTTGTACTTTTTTTATGCGAACATTTCTTTTTTCCCTGTGGCTCGAAATAATTGGGACACGGTCACGTGAGGTGACGTTACGTTAACCTAGACTCGACACCCAACGCTACCATAGTTACTGAAAGGATGAGAACGGCAGTCCGTCCCTTTCGGCGGCCCCCAGCACGGCCTCGTTGACCCCCGAAACAGACGATAAGCTGAAGCGTTATCGAAAGTAGGAAAGGAAACTCACGCTAAAGAAGGGGAAGACTGAAAGTCCTCCCTGCCCTTCTCATTCGGGCAATGGCTGTGAATCTAATAACGTTTGTTACTCCGTAGCGTTCCGTGACACCAAGACTTCAGACTGTGAGCCACGTGGCACCGTAACGTCACGTGACCTGGCGTAGTCTGACGCATGTCACGTGGTCACGCGACCCTTAGCATCGTATTGTGGCACCAGTTATACAGGACCACGTGACTAGTAAGGCCGTCCCACTAACTTCAGCTGGACCACTAAATTTTGCTGATGACAGCATGGTGCATGTTACAGCGAAGGCTACAAAAATCCCAACATAGTTTTTTTTTCTTTGTACAATTAAAGGGACGATGCACCAATTTCGTACTTTCAGTAAACACAGCTTAGAATTATTCCTTGGTATTCGTAGTTATAACCAATGAAACACGCTTTTTTGTTTTTCCTGCACAAAAAAAAAGAAACTTTCAGGCTTTCCACTTTGGTGAAGAAGGAAGACCAGCGAAGCTGTAAAATGGTCAGAAGACCTCAAGCACGACTTCTTGGACGACCTCAAGGATGACATCTCGGACGACGCCTAGAGAAATTCAGCCTTTCCACTTTGGTGAAAACTAGAGTGGAGAGGCTGGAAAGGTTGTCGCCATCTATGGACAAGGCCGGCAAGCCAATTGTCTTGTCCACCGTCGCTCATAGATGGCGGTAGCTGTCCAGAGTTTTGTGTCGGCATTTCTTTGCGGGGGACACGATCCTGGGGAAACTAGCCCTTAAAGGGGTATTCTCACGTGGAAGAAATCCCGGGGATTTCTCCCCGGCGCGCGCGCATCATGAGATGAAAACGCGAGGCTTTTCCACATCGCAAAGCCTGACGTTTTCGTCGTGGGATGCGCGTGTCGGGGAGAAATCGCCGGCACGCGCATGCTTGCCGGAGATTTCTTGAGCGTGCTGCATGGGTTTGAGGCTTGTCGCTGTCTTTTGTCTCTGTATGTCGCTCTAGTGAGACACGGGCTTAAAACAGAAAGTTGCGGCGGCAGGTTCGCTTTCCAGCTTTCGCGAGCGAATCAAATCTTCACAGCGTCTTGCGGCAAAAAGACGAAACCGTAAAGGTAAGTTCGAAACACGCGATAAAAATCGCCAAGTGCCCGTAAGTTTGTGTAAAGCGAAAAACATTCCTACCCAGTATCATTGCGCGGCCCCTTGAGCCACTTAAAGCTCGACTACAACTTTCCCAGGAATCATCTAGAAGGCACTATCGTAACACTATCTCCGCAATTAAAAGCTGGCACAGCTGCTTCAGCTACATCGAGTGAATGAAGAGTGCCGATCAAAGTCATGGCACGTTCGCGTTAGGAAGGAGCAAAACCTTCGTCCGTAGAAGACGTCGTTCGATTCCATACAAAAACAATGAGACGAGAAATGAACGAGCAAGAGGCTCGTGCTTCGAGCACGCCATTTTGGACGCTCCGATGGCTCCCTCAGTTTAATGATCCAACCGACGATGATTGAGATAATGGCCGATTCAATTCTTCAACGGCACGATCTTGCGGGCAAGACGCGCGACGCTCGGAATAGCGCGGCCGCGTCGACCAGTGCATCAAGCGCCTCCGCCAAGTATTTCGTCACCGGCGCCGCTAATGAGTTCGTTCCGATCATTGGCTCGGAAGGACGCGCTTCCGTGGCTTACAATCTTTTTAATTACAGTTTGTTTT